AATTGAATAAAAATAATGTTAAATGTCATGAAATTAAAATATTCAATTATATAGTTTCAATTATATAATTAAGACGAAAGATAATCATTTACTTACATTCAATATATTTCAAATATTCTAAATTTATTAAGGTAATAAATAATTCAAATGTTATAATTATTGGCTAATAATCTTATATATAATTAATCCAGTAGAATTCAGCCACTTAAAAACATATATGTTAAAGCTAAAATATGTCATTGTATAGAATATATTATATGATATCGAAGAAAGCATCAACTTTATTAATTTATTTTGTTCCTTTTGAATAATTATGTAAATTTAATAACACCTAATCTCTGGTTATATAAAAGAGCAATTGTATTATTAAAAAAAAAAAACAAAAAACAAAAAAAAAAAAAGATAACCTTAGACAATTGTTTATCTATCCAATTTATAATATTACTAAGTCAATGTTATAAAGATAAAGTTAAAGTATTTAATTTATCAATTAGTTACTTATCTCGTCGATCGTGTAGCTTCATAGTACTTCTATTAATCAGTAATAGATAATAGTAATTTATTTATATCTATATCGTATATTACATAGGTATTGCATATAAAGACTTTTCGTGATAAAATATATTTTAAACGAATCAATTAGTCATAGTGTTAAATAATCGTCTAAAATTAAAAGAAAACCACCCAATACATTAAGAAGATATAGTCGGTGGCGAAAGAATCAATGGCGGTGTAAAGTTGCAATGTAAAGTAGGCGATACGACAATTTGCATTATATTGCAATTGCTGATTTTTGGAGTTGCTTCCTTTCACGATATTCCTTCAATCTTTTTACATATTTGCCCCGAAGCCCACTCGAAAATATACTATTTTTACTCTCATCTCTCTTGAAAGAAAGTCGGCAGACTTAAAGAAAATGTTGCCGAAACCGATGCGCTTGGGCCGCGAGTCCTTCAAAATCTGACCTTTGTCTCGGCAAATACAAGCACTCGGGCCTTTCTCCATTATTCTTCCGTTTCCCTTAATCTCACTCGACTACACCTATACATTTATTCAAATATACCCGCGCGCGTCTATTGATTGTCACCCATATACTTTGTAAGCAATCTTTGAAAGTACGGAAAATAGTGATGCTAAAGGGGCAATTACCACGGATAATCCTCTTGGACATCGTCTCTATTATTTCATTGTCCTAATAAAATCAATGCAACATCTTATATCGCTTATTCTCGAGGAATTTGTGATTGATGATTATATAAAGTTGAGACGTGGAGGAAAAAGAAGGAGGAAAATTTCGTAATTCAGTGAACATAGAAAGAACATTAAGCCATAATGTATACAGAAATTAAGTTTATCAAAGCAATTGGTAGCTGTATACATAGCCTATATAAGCGAAAAAATGTCTAAAAATAAAATAAGAAAGTGGGAAGTAGTTTTCCTAGTGAAGAGGGCGTGTATGCTTTCGCCCTAAAAGTCTTGGATTCCCACTGTGTTATATCCTACAGTAGCGATACAATGCAGTAATTTGCGGGGGCGGGTGAATGACACATTAGGATAAATTATTCTCTCGGCAGAAACAAGGTAAAGAGAATGACTTCAAGAGGAAAGTGAGCATAAGAATAGAAGGGAAATCATGAGAGTGATTTATTTTATTAAAGGTATATAATTAAAATTTCTATATTTAATTCAACTATTCGAATGTACATGAATGTATGATTTGAAAGGTAACTTTTAAATAAAACTAGGCCAGAAATGTCAGTATAAAGTATCTATATATCTATATATAGATAAATATATATGTATATATATATATATATATATATATATATATATATATATACACATTGGAATAACATGCATTAATGATTTCATTACTTTGAACATTGAATTTCAAATTCAAATTCAATTTCTTTCACATTCAATTATATTTTAATATTCTAATGGTTTAATAATCTATATAGCTTAAAATATTTTATTAAACATTTATAATCCACTCAATCAATTTCATATATTTTTTATAATATTCTTATGTATATTTGATTAAATACTTTCCGTATGTTAAATAAATTTTTAAAACTTTTGCCGAAGAATTGAATATTGTTTAAAGAATTTATTTAATATTTTCGAGTGTTCCAATTATATACTAGATTTTATTAAATTATAAGCATGTACTTGGGGAAAATATTCTTGTTTCTTGTTTGGCAATGAAGGTAGTATGAATCTAGTTTTCTTGAAATATTCGATATGAACATACGAAACAAATTCATTGAGAAAACAAATTAATTAATATGAATGTAAATATACGTAATAATTAATTAACTAAATACTTAATTATTCGATGTACAAAAATTACTTTTTTTTTTTTATAACAAATTATAGATAAAGCGAGTAGGGGTAATTATTTTTGTTAATTTGACGACAAAGAAAATATTAAATGAATAAAATTAAATATGCTACTTCGCTTTTGTATTTTTTTATTATTTAAAACTGCGTCTCGATCGATCAACTTTATGCAACGTTAACCAACGCGATGGAAAATTCAGAATATGAATAGTATCGGAAATCTCTTTACATAAATTAGAATACATATTTTATTTGAAATTTAGGTGTCCCTTATTGAACCAGTCAAATAACTCGATTAATACACTTTTTGTTCGACAAATCTTTTACTATTCGTGTAAAGAATTAAACATTATTTTGTTTGCACATTGTAACAGGATGTTTCTTGTCTCTTTATGCCTTAAAGTATGTGCTCATAAATTACAATCAAAAACATTCTTGGATAAAGTTATTCAATATATGTAATTCTATATTGTCAAATAAATTTCATGTTTTCGCACACGTCCAAATGGATAGTTACAATATTACAATTAGATATTTCATTTTATGCAACAGAATAGTAAATTAAATACATTTTTAGTCGTAAAAATATATATAGTTTCTCTTCAGAAAATTAAACAAAGAAGGATTACTGCTTTACGAACCAATCGGCAGTGGCGCAACTCTATTGCTTTGAGCATTTCAATGACTGCCAGGAAAATCAACAGTTAGATAGTTTCTCTCATTATTTGGAAACGGAGGACTATTATTACAATTTGAGTTCCTTGCCAATTACACTAAAAGTAATGGTGTACTATAGCTTTTAACACTAATTGGTTCTCTAATGTCTTGAAACTGTGTGATAAAATATCTTCCACGCATCTCGCATATAAATAAATAAATTAATAAATAAATATATTTATAAACATCTAAAAGCTTCATCTGTCTTTTACTTGTAAGGCAAACATATTTTGAAACTTTTCTATAATTATGTGTTTGTAGAAATTTTTTTATTGGTTTTAATATGGGAATTATTTAGAAAGTTAAAGTAAAACTTTACCATAAAATTTCAACTTTTATTTAGTTTCAGCAATTTAACTGTTTAGAATATTTTATTACTTATTATTTAGAAGTTTCATACAATTATAAAAAACTGTAATATATTTCAATACTACAAGGATTATATTATGCATTATCGTTTCGAGAGTTCCGAAAAATGTGACGCAAACATTGTCAGAAAAACAACAATTATTGCATTTATATTTTTTAGTATTATAAAATAACGATGGTGGTAAGGTTTCTTAGGAATAAATAGTGCCTCTATTATTATATATAATTACTATACATATACCACATTGTCAATAATTCGATAATAATAGCTTGCCTTGTCCTGTTAAATTCGTATTATAATTGTTCCGATTTAACGTATACATGTAATTAGTTTATATGGAATATTTCAATCATACTTATAGATTTATAGATTTGAGCCACTTGCAATACGGATTATAATCAAATATGGTGAATAACGTGTGTCGTCTTTTTATTATTCATTAAATTTACTATAAACATTCCCTTAAATATGATATATATATATATATATATATATATATGTGTGTGTACAATAATAGACATTAATTGGAAGGAATATGTTTAAAAAAAAAGACACTACTCAATTAGTGTTCATTCGTGATCTCGATCATTCCAATTTTACTTGTATAAATTATGACAAAGTATTTAGTAGAATTTATATTTTTATAAATCATATTTAAGCGATTGTTAAATCTAGGAAATAAAGATGCAATTAAATGGAAAATAAAAAATTTTTCTAATTTGCCAAGAATATTGACAAATGAAATACAATTTTTTACATACTACTATATAACACATATTCTTTAGAAAAATTATAATAAAAACAATTCTATATCTGTCAACAAAAAAATTATATAGATGAAAAAGTTTTTGATTTATTATGATTTCGTTTCTAAAAAAATTGTTTAAAACTTTGTCTACGACAATAGCTTCGCATTTTTAAGTATCCGTCTAGAAGTAATTAATTCTAACGGGCATGAAAATTTTTTACTTATATTTTTTAATGTAATACATATATTTCATTTAATACGAACGCGATCAAAAGTTTATGAGAATGTTCGAAGCTCGAGTCATCTGATTAAATTCATAATACATATCGAAAATTTGAAAAGGTACAAGATATTGATATTAAAATACATAAATTAAAAAAAATATATTAATACATTGTTATATATGATTATGCAAAAATAAATAAATAAATAAATAAATAAATAAATAAATAAATAAAGCGTTGAAGTAGACCTTAGATTGTTGCGAAAGTCTCGTGAAACAATTTGCAAATAAACAACAGCGATCGAATTTTAAACGACAAGGATTGAAATAGACAAAACAAAGGTTTGATCAACATATTCCGATCAATGATCAATTAAAATTAAAATAACGCTCCAACTCTCTGTATTACAACGAATTTAGCTGTCAATAACCTGGAGCCGTGCAATTTGTATATAAGACAACGATGAAAAACATAAGGCGGCGTGCGCGGCTGCCGGTAGTTTTTTAACTACGGCCCTTTGTTCCCCTACCCCGCCCCAAATCAACTACAACCCATTCCACTGCACAACAAGTACTAGAAATTATTACGCCTCCCTCACCTTTTCGACACTACTCGTTCGCACTTCGGAATGAGCCAGGGTCAGTGACGTTATAGGGTGGCCTCGGCACCACTTCCAGCACCAGCACCACCACCACTACTACTAGCTACAGTAGCTGCACGACCAACAACAACACTAGCCGCACCACCAGCACCACATGCACACCACTGACAATGACAATAATGGCAATTTTTCCCGTGGACGTTATTCTCGCGGCACCCACGGGCTAGCTACCCCAGGCCTCGTGAGCTCCCGTCGTTGCGCCCACCCGGTCAAACCTCCCGACTCCGCTTCCTCCTCGTCCCTTAGGCCTCCAGGATCCCTTGGGATAAACGGTCGAGATCCGGTCTCCTTTGTTACTAGCGGCCACGGGATCCGCGCGCGGGCTTCCGTCGTGTCGTTGCTGCCGCTGTATTTCTCTCGCAAATCAAGCCACCCGCACACGACACACTAACCGAGGGTAGAAAACGTGGTTATCGTCGGCGGCTGTACTAAGCTCGGCCAGCTTCGGCCGACTTCGTCGGCATTCGGCGTCCCTTACCCTCCCATCCTCCGCCCCTCATTCCTCCTCATCCGCCAGTCCCCCTCGCGTCAATCTCTATATTTTCATCTCGCTCGCTCGTCGACCCTACACCTCCAACAATCTCCAACACAGCCGCAAGAGCGGCTTTCCAATGTCCCTCAAGGCCTATCTCGCGCGTGTGCGAGCTTTTCCCTCTCCCCGGAGCTTGAGTGAAGCGCCGCCGCCACGTTACGCGAGGCTCGTCGACGCGACGGTGGCCGCGGCGAAGGCATCGTCATAGCAACGTAAACTCAAAAATACACCGCGGAGGCGCTCGCTCGCAAGCTTGCGACCGAACGCGCCGAGCGTTCGTCGACCGGAGTTGCGAATACTGCGGTAAAGGGGCTTGAGGGGCGAGAGGGACAGCACCACCAGAGCAAGAGCAAGAGCAAGAGAGAGGGAGAGGGAGAGTGAGAGAGAGACAGAGAGAGAGAGAGAGAGAGAGAGAGAGCGAGAGAGCGAGTGAGTGAGTGAGAGAGTGAGAGTGAGAATGAGCGAGCGAGGGAGAGGAGGATTAATTGATACGAAATTTATATTGAGATAGCGTGGTAAGCAGTTACAAACGATCGATTTTTCTGCCGTCATTGATTTCTAATGATAAGCTGCACCGATATTCGATGATTGGATTCTGATAATGGGCTTCTTTTCTTTTTTCTTTTTTTTTTCTCTATTCTTTTCTTTTTTTGGCCAAGGCATTCGCCTAACTTACACTTCAATGTAATCTCTTCTATGAACGGTCGAATTTTATTTTCCACGTATTAACATGAAAAATAAACGATTCCATAACATCAGCTGGAGAACATTGATGTGTTTCTTGTAAATATGACAATACATAATTCCATAACAAATTTTATATATAATCAAACATTACAATATTATCTGCATTATAGATAAAATCCTCAATTTATTCTGATTTACACCTGTATTTATAACGATCTATACTTTATACAAAAATACGTTCGCTTGTTTTATATATGAATTTAATAACATTATATTAATGAGAATAAAAAAATAATAATAATAATAAAAAATCTATTATTTTTTAATGAATAGTACAAATACTTGGATAGTTTCGACGATTGTTAAACTTTGATATTTTTCTTCATTGGATCTTCATCGCTAATATGCATTATACTTCAGACTTGGAAACCTCTTAAAAGAAAGAAATCCTATTTGAAAAATTCAGTGTAAAAGGCACAGTCATGGATTTAAATGAATTTCACATTATATGGTTAAAGCACCGATGTACACATGCATATTCATATACATACATATATATATATATATATATATATATATATATATATATATAATTGATATGCGTATGTAATTATAAAATATTATGAAATTAAAGGTTCTTATAAATGATATATAAAAAATATATATATATATATATATATATATGTTTAAGATACACTAAGGTTTCTCAATAAAACATAATATAATGCAACTGTCAAAATAAGAAAGAAACGATAAAAAATCGGATCTAAATAAAATCATGATTGATTGCGTTGATTTAATTGATTTAATTAATTGCCGAGTGAAACTGAAGCTCATATATTTATAGACGTCTAATACCTTTCTTATGTATGTTAACTCTATATTTTATGAGTTTATATATTTGAGGTATTGTTAGCATGATAATAATAACAACGACCCTATAATTTATGTTTTTCGGGTCATTAATATTGATAGAAATATAAGTCGCTTACTAGCACAATATAATGAAATGTCAAAATTCGACCTCTGAATAAGAAACAAAATTATAAGATCACTTTCTATCACTTATATTAAGTATGTGATGTTTTTGGCCATCATTTTTATTGCTATATATGTAAAATGATTGATTATATGTAATTGTGTCAAATACATTAATGGAAAAGATGGTCCGTAATGGTGTTGAGATTAAATGAGGGGCAAGAGGAAAATGTGGACGAAAATAGGTTTTTAAAAAATGCGGAAAAAGCAAACTAATGGAATTGAGTAGGTTTAACAGGAAAAATGATAAAGAAAAAAGAGATAAGGGATTCTTAATGCATAATAAAAATGCATTATTACTTCCTTAAGTGTTCATTTTTCTGGTTAGTTACCTAAATTCATATGTTTATGAATTTTGAAGTTACAAACGATCATTCATAACAGAATAAACATAAAAGAGAGATCATTTCAGTTATATTTCATAATTATGTGTACGAATCCTCTTAATAGGTTTTCTATATCTTTTCTAATGTTTGTGTGCTGCATATATTAAATATGATGTGACAACTTTATATTCAATTAACAAAAGGATTTTAATATATTTTTAAAATCATTGGAACCATGAGCTGAGATTTACATTCATAATTCCATGCTTTATGAAATAATGATAAATATATGTGTGCACGTTCGAAAAATTCAGTTATGCTAATTAGAAATAATTTTTATTTCCATTGATAACGTTTATTCGAGCTTTTAAATACATTCTACAATATGAAAATGCTATTTCTATTGTCAAGATGTATTCATTTGTGGGTTTTTTTTTTTTTTTTTTTCCTATTATAAAGTGACATTAGAAGAAAACATTTTAAATGCACAATATACAATAAATATATTAAATTTCATAAAATAGTTTGTTATTATTTTATAATAAAATTAATTACATACGTAATATAACAAACAGTAGGTTTTCATTTCTATACATATAAAAATATAGGATTTATCATGATTTTAGCATGTAAGATACAACTTTTTCATATGTTTATTGTTTTTTTTTTTTTTTTTTATTGTATTAAAATCCATTATTTATTCGCATCCAAGCTATTATTGTTGGTAATATTTTTCACAATTAAAATATCATACGTACAGTGATGTAAGAAATAATATTTTTATAATTAAATTGCCCCCCATAATAAATTCTCTTCAAATTATTACATATATTTAATGAAAATTTTACCTTAAAAACTATTTCATATAGTTTGTATATTTGAATCAATAAAGTTCACTAAATAATCCACCCAATGGATATTTATTGCATTTAAATATATGTAAATCCACGCATACGTACTTCCGCAAATGAACTCAAGTTAGTTATATAATTAAGTAGACTTATGGCTAAATATTTACAATTTTATTACATAATTCACTTGATTAACTTAATTCATATGTATCCAAGCTATCGAACGTGCAGAATTTCATTGTCTATGACGTACCTACAGCTGCTATACTTTGCGAGTTAGTTTTTATTATAACGTATGTATTGCAAAAAAAAAAAAAAAAAAAAAAAAAATGTATAATGTCTAGCTAAAAGTAATAGTAAAAGGGATGCAGTATTTTCTAAAATAAGATAGTTTTCGAACATATGTCCGATGAATATTTAAGTACTATAAAATTAACAGAAATATACGATACGATTTATTTGCATAAGCTATATTTATTATGAATGCTAATGCATTAATTATCCACTTGCTTTTAATTATTTATATTATAAAATTTAAATTTAGTAACAACAGGAATTAATTATGAATTATTGACTTGTTCAATTTAATTAAATATAATGGAATTATTTAAAATCAAGATAATTGAGCATCAGAATGAAGTTTTATATCATAATATCAATGTATAAGTGATTAATGTATACTAAATTTTTTTCAAATATGTTTTTTATATCTTTCAAAATATACTTTTTACTCTTATATAAGCAACAGGTTATTCATATGAATTCATTATTTACTTTTGCAAGGGTCTGTAATTATATAGATACCTGCGTGGAATGACATATTGAACAATAATTATTTTATAACGCATTTCATCTATTTTCTATGTATATTACTTATTTACTTTTATTATATTTAAAAAACTTGATTGAGCATGATATTAGAAAAAATTTTTTTTAAATATATTGAAAATATATTGTTATTGTTAATATAATTCCATATTCGTCCTATAACAAAAAGTTGTTAATTTGAAAAACGAAATTATTTCTAAATAAGATTCTCATAATGAGATTGTCGTCGAAAAATTTATAATTATTTATTGTATTCCTATATATTTAATATATTATTAATATTAAGTTTGTACAAAATCATACGAGAAATGATGCAAAATATAGTTGGTGCACAATTCCGTATGATATTCATTGAAAGATAGGGAAAAATTTGAAATAAAATATATTCAAATTTCTTTGTAATTATAAAGTATGAATTGTTTTTAATCCATTTTATTTCTTAATTCCCATATATAGAGAAAAATTAATGTTCTTTATTTATATTTGAAAAATAATGCATTTAATTTGAATACCTAATAACTGTATGCATGATTAAGGCAGTTTCATATTAAAATATGAAACATTATAAAATACTCCTAATGCCAATAATAATAATAATAATAATAATAATAATAATAATAACAATAATAACAATAATAACACTAATAATAATTAATATAATAATAATAATAATAATAATAATAATAATAATAATAATAATAATAATGAAATAATCTTAATAAACTTATCTTTTAACTTTTCATGTATTATATACACG